ATGACGTGTATTGGAAGTGGTGTGATTTGCTTACTCTGAAAACATAGGGTAACAATCAAAAACGTTTCTGGCTACTTTGAGCTCAATTTCAATGGTTTGTTTTCATCGTTGCATCTAATCAAATATTATCTCTATTTCTGTAAATATGTTTTCCCTTTTATCACTTGAGACCACTGAAACGAGAATACAACGATAAATAATTATACGAAATCCACCTCCAAAGTTAGCGTTTTAACCTAAAAGAACAGTCGTTTTTTTTTTTCATTATGCACTGCGTGAACACATGCTGGATTTTTTTATGTGGTGCACACTGACCACACAGACCCATTCTCTCACATGAGGGCCTATCAGCTTTCTCCTGCTTGATTTGTAGCCACTAGAATTATTGAGTATACATACGTCTGAAACACTGGCTCCTAAGACACATATATACGACCAAAATAGTCAAAGGGTTAAGTGTGAATAGTGTGGAGAGGTTAGTGCGATTTCTGTTGCTGCCTTCCACCACCACTATGTATGGCTTCTCTCAGTGGCCCTTATAAACCCAACAACACTTAAACCACTTACTTCTCTCATACATTATGACATATTTTATTAATTCTAGAATATATATCATATTTCTATGTTATTAATATTGTTTATTATGCCATATTAGATGAAATGTGATAGATAAATAAGCCGCAGAGATGTTGTTAGCGTCATATTACAGCATAATAAACTCGTCTCCCTCTCCCCTCCTGTCTTCCATACACCAACAAGTCAATAAAGTTAAGTGTTAAATGTTCATTTATCCATTTTATTAGTGCTTTATATTTATTTGTCATTGTTTTCTGTATGTATATCATATTTAGTCTTTAAAATAATTTTTTTTTGTTAATACTCTTGGCTGTCTGAAACAGATTAATTGGATTTCCATTATTACTTATGGGGAAAATTAATTTGGCTAAAGGCAAAATCAATTAAAGGCAACCTCTCTGGAATGGAGAGGGTCCACTGTATTTCTTAAAGCTATTGCTCTTTAGCAACCACAAAGACGAGTACACTACCCCCCCTCTCTCCCCCTTCTTCCCTCCCTCTACCCTCTCCCCCCTCCCTCAACCTCTCTCCCCCTCTCTCTCTCTCTCTCCCTCCCTCCCTCAAACCTATCCTCCCTCTCCCTCCCTCCCTCTACCCTCTCTCCCCCCTCCCCTCTACCCTCTCTCCCTTGCTCCCTCTACCCTCTCTCCCTCCCTCTACCCTCTCTCCCTCTACCCTCCCTCCCTCTCCCTCTACCCTCCTTCCCTCTATCCTCTACCCTCCTTCCCTCTATCCTCTACCCTCTCTCTACCCTCTCTCCTCCTCTCTCTCTTTTTACATAGGGTTTTACAAGGTTAGATTAAGGATAGTGCTTAACTTTATTTACAAGGTAAGAGCTGTTACCTACATCAACTCATTTAAAAGCCTTTTTATTGTTATGAGACATACAAGTAGGGAACAGGATGGAGTTGGAGCCATCTGTGGGCCAGTAATTTCATTTGATCAACTGTATGTCATTGATATCATTATGCTGTACGAAAATGTTCCAGACTCGAGTCAACTTGGGAATAAATGATCTCAGATGAAGTGATGTTCTGGAGAAGGGTACTGTCAGAGTGAAGTTGCTGCCTGACACCCGTCTTGTGCAGAAGCTCACTTCTCGTTGTCGTTGGAGCGGAGCCAAGTGTGGTACTTTGACAATACTGGTCTCTCTCTCTACCCATCCCTCTACCTGGAGGTTGTTTTGAGGGTCAACACCCCCTCAGCCCAGTCCCTGACCAAGCCCCTGGTGGACTGGGTCCTAATCAACCAGGCTACTATTGATGGCAGCACATAATCCAATAAACAAAGCTCTACCCAGCTGATCGGGTACTGACTTCAGTCATCTGCCCAGTTCCCTCTGGAAGGCAGCCAGGGGTTTATTGGTACTTCCCCTCTCCCTTCAACTGTTCCTGTACCCCTTTCCCTCCTACCTTGTACCCAAGATTTATACACCCACTTCTTCAACCTATCCCTGTCCACATGCCCAAATCACATTAACAACCATTCCTCAGGCTTCTGAATTATTCCCTTGGTCACCCCATATTGCCTTTTAATTTTGTACATTCCAAATTCTCTGTATGATATTCACACCACACACAGGGTTTTCAATATCTTAATGGACATTCAGAAAATCCCATACAGTAATTTTTATGTTTTTAAGTAAATGTTTATACAAAAGAGTTTCTAAACAAAACTGGAATACTGATAGCTGCATCTGTTAAGTAATGATTCTGGGGATCATTGCTTCTGTGGCTTAGTTTCAAATCAGGCCTCCTAAATTGAAAATAAACAGTACAGGAATACTATTAAATACACAGGAAGGTAAAGACAAGTATTAAGTATACTGAATGTAAGTAGATGTTTGTAAGAATTACTTGTGCATCTCATCTTACAGTCTAAAACCATTAGTGATAACAGGCAAAATTTTTGTTTTACATGTTTGATAGCACTAGTACCTACCTGGATGGTTTATGTAACATACTGGGCACATAGTGCCCAGTATGTTACATCTTTTTTTTTTTTTTTTTTTAAACATCAGCCATTTCCCCACCAAGGATGGGTGACCCAAAGAATGTAAACATTGTAAACTGTATGTGAATTGAAACAATTATATTACAATTCATCCAACTTTCGAAGTTGCATTATAACTGTCACCCTATTTTTTACTTCCCAATGTATACCACAGAAAGAAGTTTAAGAGTGTAATACTACTGTAAATTATACAGTAGTCCCTAGAGTTATGATAGTAATCCATTCCAAGACACATTATACCTCAAAAACTATTGTAACTCAAACCCAAAATACATGGTTTTATAGTAATTCGTTCCCAGACCCTGGAAGTGTAACATTTTTTGTACCTTGGACATGCTCGCTCACAGATATAACCTGCTTCTCATCTGCCTCCCTCTTATCCACAGTAACAACAGTCTTTCCATCTCTATAATTTCTCTGCCTTTTTTTTTTTCACTGGCTTAGATTTGTCTAACACCCAAGTGCGTACTTACTGCTAGGCGAACAGGGGCAGCTGGTGTAGGAAAACATGCCTAATGTTTCACCTATGCCAGGATCAATCCCTGAACCCCACTGTGTGAGCTGGGGACACTATCAACCAAGCCATTAACCCTTTCAGGGCCGACAGGCCCACTCAGAGACTTGTTCTCAAGGTCGCCCAAATTACAATAAAAAAAAAATTATTTTTTCTTATGAAAAGATAGAGAATCTTTTCCCGATCATAGTGACACCTAAAGTATGAAATTTGATGGAAAGCTTACGGAGTTATGCTCTCGCGAAGTTAGCGGTCTCGACGATGTTTACGCATCGGCGATTTTGCCCACTTTGAGCCCTATTTTCGGTGAATTCCAGTGCACTTGTCGACAAAAATCATAACTATTTTGCTAGAACTCCATTTTTTCTATCGAATGAGTACAAGAAACCACCCATTTACCGATTTCAACTATCCAATAGTGGTCAGAATTTAGTAATTTTGCCAATTTCACACAAATTTCAAAAGATGCCAATTTCTGAATAGGCTCCAGAATAAACAAGAAAGACATTCCTGGCACTAAAATAACATTTCCTCTGTTCATTAGTCATGTCCCCATGCCCCTCTTACATTCTTTTGCTTTCCACTTTGAATTTTTATTCTCACCAAAAAAATAGAAGATTTACTGTTATGCAGACTACTGCATTGGTGCAGAAATGGTATAAATAATATCAGCGCACTTGTGAAAGAATATTAGACTCACCAGTTGACGTGTATTGGACGCATAGCATGGTTTGTTTACTTTTGAACTTTGGTAAAAATCAAACATTTCTGCTAGTTTGAGCTCAATTTCAAGGTACTTTTCTTTGTAAAGCCAGTCAAAATCATCTCTATTTCTGTAATATGCCTTCCATTCTATAAAATGAGACCAGGAAAACTAGAATACAACAATAAATACCATACGAAAATACAGTGCAAAGTCGCTGTTTTAATCCAAAAACACGGTCCAAGTTTTTTTTTTCTCATTACGCACTGTGTGCTGCAGGATTTTTTTTATGCTGCGCACACTGACCACATAGACCCATTCTTTCATCTGTAGGCCTACCAGCTTTCTTTCACTAGATTTGAGGGCACTAGAATTTGGGCATACTAGTACGTCAAAAACCCTGGTGCGTAAGCCGTACTAGTACGGCCGAAACCCTGAAAGGGTTAACAACTGCACCATCGTACACATATCATATCTCAAATTTTTCATCATAACTTGAAACTAAATTCCTCTATGAGGGTAAATCTTAATCCAAAATTATTGTAACACAAACCCATTGTAACTCAAGGGACCACTGTATTTTGATGCTCAAAATATTATCCAATTCTACAATTATTACTAACTGGGTAATTACAGTGTTGAGTAGGATCAGATAGCTATGACTAATATCCACTTATAGCTTTACTAAATAGGTAATTGCCAGCATAGTTGGTCTGAGTCCAGGATAATAATTTTTTTTTTACACTATATAACCTGGGAAATATATGAATTCCATGTGCAATAGTCTATTATGTTTGTTTCAGGTTTCTTGTCTGGTCCTGGGAATTGGTTATACATAGTGAGTGCAACATCCAAAGGCATATTTAATTTGCGTGAGGACTGGTATTTTGCAACACCTCATTCACATAGGGGAGGAGTAGAGTTGATAAATTAATAAATTAGATTAGTATATATCATAGCATTTTACTCAACATTTCTGTACGATAAACAAGTTCATAATAGTAGACAAGCTATAATCACGTCTGAACAAAGTACGTACATATCTTATGCATATCAACAAAACATATCTCACTGGAATTACATAAACAAATTTTCATAAAAAACTCACCTAAAATTCAGTGCTTGTAAGGAATGCTATTAATAGCACCGAAAAGAGAGAGATTTCAAATAGAGATACAGCATTTAAGTACTTACAGGGAATGGGTGGGAATTGGGCCGACACTGCAGTATTGCTCGTGCCATCATTTTGGATTCAGTGACAGGGGGGCCACCCACAGTGGGGGGGACCAGTGTGCGAACACCAACAATGTTCACCATCAACCCTAAGCCGCAGGCCGAACAATGACTTGTCCCTGGGGCCTAGTCAGTTTGCACTAGGCCTCCTTTCCTTTACAGCACTGGTACGTCAGCTGACGTATGTATGAGCACTTAGTCATATTAGCAAGATTTTGTTCCTTTTGTCACGTAACTGGGTTTCAAAATGTTAAAATCTGCACTATAAAAAGCATTCAAGTTACTTCATTGCAAGTATCACTTAATTTTCTTGTAAAACTAGTTCCAATAAGAGGCTTTACAACTAATTTGTCACTAATAGTAATCAATCACTACACTAACAAAAAATTTAAAATTTTCAGCTAGAAAAATTTATGAGCTTATGACAGCACCAGGCTCTGTACATTACACCACAGTAGTTACGAAAACATACGACAGCACCAGGCTCTGCACATCACACAGAGCATCTGAAAAGAAAAATGGCAAATAAATTTATAAGAACTACCTATACTTATCTAATTGATAAGATGCATTAGTCAGTTACTGTGATTAATCATTCAATCTGAGAAGATAAGAACAGATAAAATATATAAAACGTACGAGAAAGAGAAAACTCCATCTAATCGAAAATCGTCTAAAATGAACTGAAGAATACATGTGAAGAATGAGTTACATTCGTTATACCCCCAAAAAGCTAACCAAAATTTTTAAAGCTTGTTAATTCATCAAAACACAAAAATAAATAAAAAATAAGTTTTCTGTTCATTGCATTATAGTAGTCAATGCTTGTTATACCAATGTGTGGATAGAGTTGATGTGACCCTGTACAAACATATGACAGGCAGTTCAACAACTAGCACCTGCCTCCACCACAACCATTATCACCTGCAAGAAGCAGTAAAAAATACATGTATCATATATTATCAACCATAAGACAAGATTATTTATTAAATAAATATGCCCAGCATAATACTCCCATCTTAACCCTTTCAGGGTCCAGAGGCCAAATTTCAAAGTGCACACCGGTGTCCAAGAATTTTCCAAAAATAATTTTGTTATTTCTTCTTATGAAATGGTAGAGAATCTTTTTCTGAAGGTAATAAAACAAAAAGTACGAAATTTGATGGAAAATTTACGAAATTATGCTCTCGCGAATTTTGATGTGTCAGCGATATTTACGAATCGACGATTTTGCCAACTTTGACTCCCATTTTAGGCCAATTATATTATTCCAGTCGACCAAATTCTTAGCTATTTCACTAGTATTACTTCTATTCTATCGATTGAGCACAAGAAATCACCAAGTCAACTGTTTCAACTACAAAATAAAGTGATCGGAAATTGGTAATTTGGCCAATTTAACACAAAGTTCAAAATATTCCAATTTCAAAATAGGGTCCAGAATAAACAATGTAGGTATTCCTGGCACTAAACTAACATTTCCTCTGTTCATTGGTTACATTTTGAGGCTTTACAAATGAATTCCATTTTGATTTTTTATTAACAATGAATTTTTATTCAAACCACAAAATAGAAGATTTACTGTTATGCAATATTGTAATAATTGCATAAATATCATCACCACATTTGTGAATGTATATTAGACCCACCAGCTGGCATGTATTAGATGTGTGAGGTCGTTTGTTTACTCTTGAACATCGGCAAAAATTTAACATTTCCGCTACTTTGAGCTTAGTTTCATGCCATTTCAAAATCAGCTCTATTTCTGTAATATGTCTTCCATTCTATCAAATGAAACCAAGAAATCGCAAATACAACTATAAAAAACATGCAAAAAAAACACTGCAAAGTCGGTTTTAATCGAAAATCACAATCTCAGTTTTTTTTCTCTCATTATACAGTGTGTGCTGCAGGATTTGTTTTATGTGGTGCACACATACCACATAGATGTATTCTCTCATATCTAGGCCCAAATTTACCACTCACAGCTTATCAGAATGAGCTGAGCTCATGGCGTAGATCTACGGTTTGGACCCTGAACATAAAGCCGTAGATTTACGGCACGGACCCTTAAAGGGTTAATATGCATGAAAGCATTTTTTAACACACTGGTCATATCCCACCGAGGCAGGGTGACCTAAAAAGAAAAATGAAAGTCTTTCTTTTAAAATTAATAATTTATAGAGCAGAAGGGGTTACTAGCCCTTTGCTTCTGGCATTTTAGTCGCCTTTTATGACATGCATGACATGCGGAAGAACTCTTTTCCACTTATCTATGGAGGTAAGAGGAAATAAAAAAGAACAAGAACTATTAACCCTTTGAGGGGTCCAGGCCCCCAATCTGAATATTTCCCAAGGGGTCCAAGAGTCTAAACAAAAAAAAAAATTTACTTATGAAACAGCAGAGAATCTTTTACTCAGGGTAATAAAACAAAAAGAACGAAATGTGATCAAAAATTTACGATATTATGCTTTCAAGAATTTTGCTGTGTCAGCAATATTTACGCATCGGCAATTTTGCCCACTTTGAGTCTTATTTTTGGCCAATTACACTGTTCCATTAGACCAAATTCTTAGCTATTTTGCTAATATGCATTCCATTTTATCTATTGAGCACAAGAAATCACCTATTTCAACTAATCAAATAAAGTAATCAGAATCAACTACATATTTCATCTACCTAGAAAGTGATCGGAAATTGGCAATTTAGACAATTTCACGCAAAATTCAAAATATTCAAATTTCAAAATAGGGTCCAGAATAAACAATGCAGGCATTCATGGCACTAAAATAACATTTCCTCTGTTATTTAGTTGTTTCCAGGCTTTACAGATGAATTCCATTTAATTTTGTATTCACAAATTTTTATTCACACCAAAAAACAGAAGATTTATTGTTATACAATATTGTAGTAATTGTATATATAATATCAATGCATTTGTGAATGCACATTAGACACAAAAGCTGATGTGTATTGGATGTGTGATGTGATTTGTTTACTATTGA